TATTTGTACATATTTAATAAACTTTTAACACGAATACAAAGTTTGAACCAAAACTATAGAGTTTGTCAAACTCGTAACTACCACTGTGGCTCCGTCCCCGCGAACATATGCTAACTATACACAAAAAAAGTTCTAAAAAGCTTCTTTTTTTTTTGTTTTGTTTACCTGGGAATGGATGGTTCTTTGGATTGAATTTTTGGTGCTTTTGAGATATTTTTGTTGAATCTTGATTTCACAGATTGAAATTTACCTGTAATTTTTGTGTTAATATCAAAAAACACATTTATATATACCTAACATAATAATTTAAATATGCGTAAACATAATTTTACCTGGAAATGGTGTAGGATGAAGATCCATATCTATAGACATAATAATAATTGTCAGAAAAAAATGAGTTGAATTAAACTTTCAAAAATTTATTTGTTGTTAATATTAATATATATATTTGGAATTTGGAATTATAACTTCTTTTTTTTTGAAGTTCAAATAATGATCAAAAGCGGGAACAGGTTTTTTAATTTAAAGTCAGAGTTAGGCGCGGTTATATCATACGCTCCCCTAATTAGTTTATTTTGTTATAAAGCTAAAGGGGCAAGTTGGGAACTTTTTTAAATATTCTTTTTGATTCTTTACTCGATGTCTTGGTATTCACATTGGACTCGAACTAAATCTGGATTCACGAATTACACGATCCATCTTTTTGGGATGATACTCACGTTTTTTTGTTTTTGTTTTTACGTTTTCTAGGAACTGTCATTTTTTTTACTTTATTGGTGACTTGAACTCGGTCAATTGAGATATAATAATTACGATTTGCCTTTCAAATGAGATGATTTTTAATTTTTGTTTTTAAATGGGTTGATCTTTAATTTTTACCCTTAGAGCGGGTGACAAATTTTTTAAAGGCGCGAGACATAACTTATAAAATACTATGAGGCAAAAATATAATTTATGCTCCACAAAGATTACGTAATTACACGATTTAAGATAACATAATCTCAACAAATCCCTACCATTTGAATTAATTACAAAAAGCCCATTTTCCTTCTCTCTCTCTTTACATTCAGATACATCATTTCACCTCTGATATAAAGTATAGAAACCCCAACAATTTGGGCGCTACTTACATTCTATTCAGAAAGTTTTTCAAATCACAGTAATTCCAATTTTTTCAAAACTCGTGGATACATTGCTGCTTCACTCTATACATAGTAAACGATACATGAGTTATGTATCAAATACATAGCTATAAACCAGATTCATACTGATTTAGGTTTGAAATAATTTAGTTCATGTATTAACAATATTATTTGTATCATACATTGTATACAAACAAAGATGTAATGTATCTGATAGAGTTGAAGTGATGTATCCGAATGATAAGAATTTTTAGAGATTATGTCTTAAGTCATGTAATTACGTAATTTTCGTAATGCCTAAAAGTTTAAAGACCAGTACAAAATAGGAATAAAAGTGTAAATGACCCGCCAGTTGGGCCGTTCGTTGCCCAAGAGGTTGTTTTGGGCTGTTATTGGGTCGAAAGAGGACTTCTTTAGGAAAATAGCCACTTTTGAACCGCTAAGCAAACTTTATAATATTTCAAAATAGCAAAACTATTCAAAGTTTTATTTTTTTAAAAGAGGAAATAAAATGTCGACCAAAATTTCCCTAGTTAAAACATGGAAAAACTAGTCAAAACTTTAGTCCTAGAGATTCATATGCATCATTTCAAACTCTAATCTTATATATTGAACTCCATGATTTTTAGTGGAAATCCATAACATTATCCTAAAATTTCACTTGTAAAAGTCAAAATTTCAAAATTTAAATTAAAAATATATCATAAGTGAAATAACCATTTAACATTATTTGAATGACTTTTATATAAATGAAAATAATCATTTAATATAATTTAACTCATGACACTTATTTCAAAACTTAAGACTTTGAGCAACTTTCGATTATCCTGCTTGCTTCACCTGCTTTTTAACTTATGACACTTATTTTAAAACTTATATCATATGATGAGAAGATAAATAATACAATTGACTAAGCATGCATTGATGACTTGCAATTTGCATGCAAAATTGTTTATATAAGAAAAAGTAAAACAATCAACTTGAAGAGAAGTTTCCTAACCATTTGTGATGTATATAGTGCTTATTTCAAAAGAGTGACTTAAAATAGCAAAAAAGGACAAGCACTTAAAAATTGACCAATGAACAAATTGATGAGATGCCACTTTGAAGAATTTATATTCTAAACAAATTGTGTTCTCATTTGTTTGGAATCTAGCAAAGAAACTTTCCTTTTCTATGTGCACTTAAGTTTTCTATAAAGAAAAAGAAAATATCATGTCCGTCTCAAAATACTTATCGTCCTTAATTAAAAATATTTACTTCAAAAAATTATTATTATAAAAGTTCGCTTTTCTCCATTTTACATTTAGTAATAATTGTTCTTGGATACTACAAATCTCTTTGTTGTAACACATAAATAGAGTCAATATTTAATGAAGAGAGATTATATTTTAAGACATACATAACGATAAAATAGTCAAAATACTTTTTAATCAATATTTTTTTAAATGACATATAAGAGAAAAACACGATAGATAATGAGACAAATGGAGTAAAATGTTAATTCAAGCCATAAATCTCAATCTGCTCTTTCAACACCATTGGACTTAAACCACTATAGGTCCAATTCACACAATTAATTGTAAACTCATTAATTAGGATTCACATTACAATCCATAATTACACAATTCAATTTTGAAGTTTAATAAACAAACACAAATATAAGTTTTGGCCAAAACTATGGTATGCAGAATCCGCTATTAGAATTATAGCTTCGTTAATCTTAATATATATCGAGTAACTCTGCCATCAAAATTTTAATGAATTAGAACAAATCACTAAATAATGAAAAGGAAATTATAGTCTTATGTCAACTTATAGTTGAAAGTCATCGTTTTGCATTTTTCATTCACTTAATTATAAGAATCTTTACTCTGCTTTGTTTGACTGTTTATCACTTAATATGTTCATTTGACCAGAAAATATAATATTGGAATCTAGTCCAAAAAAAAGAAGAGATAATAATACATATAATTAAGAAATTCCAAAAAACTATTCCCCCTCCCCCCCCCCCCCCCCAAATAAATGAACATATTTTAATGAGAAGGAGAGTATATAATTAGTACTTGAGATTTGAGAATCATTCAACTTCACATATCATTTGAAAGTGTCTAAGAGATTAATTTAATCTTTCTTTATGTCCACATCTTAGTAAAAGACTTGTTGGACATCTTCGTACGAATCGTTTGATTCGTGAAATAAAATGAACATTTTAAAATTAAATTTGAAATTAAATTTATATATTATTTAGTTAAATATATAACGTATTTCAAAATAATCTTATATTTCAAATTTCATATTATTTTATCTCAATTAAAAATAAGATAAATTAATTTTTGAAATTATAATTTTGAAATAACTTAAAAGAACGAAAACTTTGTCATCAAATGAAAACACCATACTACCTTAAATAAAGTTCATTCAAGGACACCTACGTTTTTTTTTTTAATTTAAACAACGGTTAATTAATGCAATCTAAATTATCCATCCAATTTCTTGCATTAGTTATCTGTCAATTTTAAACTCTTGAAATAAACGTTTTATACAATTAAGGATATACTCTACTAGCTGAACAATTAATGATTTGTTATAATAATAAATTAAATGGTTGTACACCTCCATACTTGGTCAACTCCATAGAATAATTTATTTTTTTTAAAAAAGTAATCAACAATATTTTAATACATAGAATCAACCGATAATTACTCCATAATGAGTCAGTATTCCAATCATTTCTGAATTTCTGATACCAAATTTATTACGTCTTAAGATCTTGATAGAACAGACTGATACTCAATGCCTTAACTTGATCGAAATGAACCAATTTACATGACTTAAAGAAAATGTAAACCAATATTTTCTTAACATTTTCTAGTTTAAGTAAAACAGAAAATCGTCACCAAAGTCAAAGAAATATGTATAATACATACATCATATCATGACTATCTAAATATATGAATAATATATACCAACGAAAAAGTGGACTAATATTTCTTAATCGTAAAATATTAAGTACACGTATATTTAGGCATATAAATTATATAGTCTGAAAATAGTAGTTTGATCAAGTCAAACTAAGTATTTCCTCTAACATATTGGTTTAAGTCGATGAGTCATTCCTCCTTTCATCACTCACCATCATGGGTTGGATCCTGGTGGGATTGTTTGAGATTTCTCCGCTTTTAATCATGAGTTTCATCGTTTCGATTAGAATTCTTTAAGAATGACAAAAATTCTATTAAAGTATTGTCACAAAAAATAAGTCTTATAATATGTAAATCTTTGAATTTAGTCAGATTTAAATAATATGGCTATTGGACGCTGGATAAAAACAAAACAAAAAAAAAAAAAACTAAAAATCCTATTGGAAGCATTGACACCCAAAAATGGACTTTGTTAGATACGATAAACTCTATAATACACGAATCTAAATTTAATCGAGTCAGATTTCAAATACCCAATGGAAAACCAAGAAAAAAAAAGTCAATCCTCCTTTCAATTCTTTCTTACGCGGCTACAAAGTCAAAGTCATCCATTTTCCCCCAATTCTATAATTTTCTTTCTTTCTTTTAGTAATCTTTTTGTCCCCAATTCTATAATTGGAGTTGTATATAAATCATACATGTTTTCACTTTGTGTACTATCCTAACCACTCTCTAGCTACTACACTCTATATATCTCCTTCTCATTAATTTCGATTTACGTCGGCGTAGACTCACCAATAAAATAATTAGTGCTTAGTTTGTCGATAAATTCTTCATTTATAAAAAAAATAAATTCAAAATCTCTAGTTAATTAAGAGTGAAAAAAGTTTCATCTACTCTGATCATCACCTGATCGACCCTTTGAACTAATTAAGAGTTCAAGAAAAGGCGAGACGGGGAGATGGCGGGAGGAGGAGGAGGAAGATCGTTGGAGCAAACGCCGACATGGGCGGTTGCCGTAGTTTGTTTTGCGTTGGTTGCCATTTCTATTGTAATAGAGTTCATTATCCATCTTATTGGCAAGGTAGGCCACTAACCATGCAACATTTTGATGAGTTTAAGTTATATATGCACGTATAATTATTGTGTGTTATTAAATTATTCAAAAAATATCTACAAGTCAGTCTGATCATTAAATTATAAGATTTATAATTTTATAGTTAATATAATTTACATGCTACAACAAGTAAAATGTCTGATCATATAAAGATTTCTTACATTAACGAGGTAAAAAATATTTATATAATCAGGTCATTATAAATTAATCATAGTTAAATTGTTAAATATTTATACAAATTGTGTATATAACCTTAGATATATTCCAATAATTTACAAATATAGTTTTATTATTAATTTTATGTTTTTTTTTCCTTGCATGTAGTGGTTGAAGTCTAAACACAAAAGAGCATTATATGAAGCACTTGAGAAGATAAAAGCAGGTACACTTTAAATTCATATTGTTCGGACCTTTTAAATATATTGTCATTTTTATTATGTTATTATCCAATTCTTTAGAATTACATAATTTTTGAAGGATTGATCTGTTCAACATACACCGAACGATATTTTTGTAGAATTTGAACAACATATATGCTCATTAATTTTCTAACGAACATATTTTTATTTTTTTACTAATATTTTTTTTTGATTTTTTTATAGAGTTAATGTTGTTGGGATTTATATCCTTACTATTAACAGTAGGGCAAGATCCAATTTCAAATATTTGTGTATCTGAAAAGATTGCAAGTACGTGGCATCCATGTAGTAAACAAAAAGAAGCTGAAATGAACAAATATATTTCCGGTGACTTAGAAGGTCATCGCCGGCGACTTCTTACAGCTGATGATGGCGGAGTCCGGCGAGTTTTGGCAGCTGCCGGAACTGACAAATGTGCAGACAAGGCATGTTACTCGTATTTTTATTTTTTTTAATGAACACGAGTAAAGCTAAAATGACAGTTGAAATGGAACAAATAAAGTATTATATACTCTTGAATGATGAAGTATATATATATATATATATTTTGTAAGTAAAGAAATAACATACCATATCATAAGTTAAAAAATACTTATAAGCTAATTTGATCGACTTAAAATTAATCAAAATACACCACCTTTATAAGTCAATGCTAGTGCTTATAAATCGAAATATGTCAAAAGTCATCACTTAGTTATTACTCCTAACTTAATTAATTTGTGCTTAGATAGTAATATAAGTACTTAAAGTTTGACCAATTTTATTTTATTATTTTATCCTTATTTTTAGCTAAACAAAAATCCTAACTTTCTCTTGTTCCGTATTTTTTTTTTTTTTAAATAAAAAATAAAATTACCATTTTAACACAATGATACATTGATACTTTTAAATTTATCAAGATTTTTTCTTACCAAACATGCCAATTGTTCAAAAACATACTAAACAATTTGTTTATAAAATTAATTTCAACGCTTAAAAATATATTTTTATATTTAAATTTATCAACTATTTACGATCATCTAATCAAAACGAGCTGTAAATTGATTATCATTTTTTGAATTTGTAATTTGCAGGGAAAAGTGGCATTTGTGTCTGCTGATGGTATTCATCAATTACATATTTTCATTTTTGTGCTGGCTATTTTTCACGTATTCTATTGTGTTACCACATTGGCATTGGGAAGAGCTAAGGTATTTTTTTCAAATAAATATTTATTTACTTATTTTTCCTTTTAAAAAAATAGAAAATACTGTTCAAAATATAGGTCAAGTTATTTTTGACCCTTTTTTTAATTTGGTTGTATTTTATTAATTTCAGATGAGTCGTTGGAAGACATGGGAAAAAGAAACAAGAACAGCTGAGTACCAATTTTCTCATGGTAAAAATCATCCTAATATTCATTTTCGATTGAAGTTTATTGAATGTTATCTCATTAAATATAGAACCTGTTTTTGATGTCCAAAATTCTCATTGAAATTAAAGTCAATATATTAACATGTTTAATAATTTAACAGATCCAGAGAGATTTCGATTTGCTAGAGACACATCATTTGGAAGAAGACATTTGAGTTTTTGGACTAAAAATTCAGTTCTTCTATGGATTGTACGTATCCTTCATCTCAAATTTATTATAGTTTTTTTTTTTTGAGTTTAAAACCTATTATAATTGAAAATAATATATTATGTTATATTTTATTTTTTTAATTATTTATTTGTAATTTAATTTGCAGGTTTGTTTCTTCAGGCAATTTGTAAGATCTGTTCCAAAAGTTGATTATTTGACCCTACGACATGGTTTTATCACGGTAAATACATAATCAATAATTAATATTGAATAAAATAACTAATTAATATTGAAAATTTAATGATAATTAAGTACATAATATATTAATTTATTTCCGTCCAAATATAAATGTAAAAATAAATTTACTAAAATGGACAATGACAATTTATGAATTTCTTTCAATATATAATTTTTTTTTATAAAAAAAGTCGTGTATTTTGTAAAGCAGAGATGGATGGTGTATGGGATCAATGAATTCAACTAAACTTAATGTTTTTGACGCAAGCCATAAATATATATATAAAAATCTAAATTCATTACCTTTAAATCAGAGTATTTTTTATTCAAATTAGCTTTTATATATATATTTGTTCTAATTTTATAATTTTGGTTTTTTTTCCAGGCACATTTGGCACCTCAGAGCCACATAAATTTTGATTTCCAAAAATATATTAAGAGGTCATTAGAAGAAGACTTCAAAGTAGTTGTTAGCATCAGGTATTTTTTAACCTTTAAATTTATAATTATTATTTCTAATTTAATTAATTAAATATACTTTAATCCATATTTTGCACAAATATCGTGTTTAATCGAAATATAGCTGAAATTAATCTTCTTTTTTGTTGTATTTTTTTTTTTTTGCAGTCCCCCAATTTGGTTCCTTGCTGTATTATTCCTACTCTTCAATACTCATGGTAAATAAATACTCTAAGCGAATAAAATATACGTTTTTGATATCTTTATGTCAGTATTATATTATATTTTGACTATTTGTAAAGTGCGTCACACTCAAATATGAAGTGAAAATAAAGTTTAATTTAGTATACATAACATAAGTATTCAAATGATAAAAGCGAATTATACTTCAAGAAATGTATGATTATTTGTAAGCAAGTGGACATAAAATGCATACTTCAAGTAAACATTTTTTTTAAAAAAATTAATCAATGTTTCGAGTTTGAGTTTTGAGTGTGAAATTAATTAATTTTATTACGGAGTGCTTGACCTTTCAATTTGGACTTTCCCATGTGAATCTAAATGCCTTTACCTTTCGATCTGAACTTTTCAACGCCCATCCAAATTTAATCAAATTTTAATATGGATATCGAGATAAAAAAATAAGTTGATTAAATAATTTCATTTGTCATTTGTGGACAGGCTGGTATTCTTATCTGTGGCTACCGTTTATTCCGTTACTTGTAAGTAATTCTAAATCATTTTGTACACATTTTGCATTTGACTTTTTGTTTCATTTATTTCTATTTTCCACATTTTATATATCTATCTTTCCATAGTGAAACTCAATAACTTAACCTTATATGTATTAAGAAATTTATTTACTAAATATAAATATTTGATTGTGACTCAATTATTATTATTCCCTATCTTAGTTAATATTGCATTTTTCGTTTTTTAAGAGTAAAATAGTTTAAGTTTGATTGAAAAATTTACGCATTTTCATTTTCATTTTTTTTTTGAAATGAAATTTGTATATTTATAAACTACGTAAAGAGTATTATAAGTCACAATAATTGACAATTCAAAGTATTTAAAAGATATACGAAAAATTTACAGTTAAAGATAGACTTTTTGAATCTCAAAATTTAAAAAATACCACATAAATTAAGACGGAGAGAGTATTATACCGTATTATGTATTAACTTGAGATTATTGATTGTAAAACTCATCATAATTTTTAAATTCCGAATTAGTCTATGTTTCTATGCTTTTAATAAGTATTTATGAAAATTCTGACTTCGTCATCGATACAGGTGATATTATTAGTAGGAACTAAACTACAAGTGATTATAACAAAAATGGGATTAAGAATTCAAGAAAGGGGAGAAGTAGTGAAAGGGGTCCCTGTGGTTCAGCCTGGAGATGATTTATTTTGGTTCAATCGTCCTCGTCTACTACTTTTTTTAATTAATTTTGTTCTTTTTCAGGTAATTTTTAAAAAAAGAAAAGTCATTTTTTAATTTTAAATATATATATATATATATTTTTTTTTTTTTTACCTTATTAATTTTATATTTTTTTGTGATTTATTGCAGAATGCTTTTCAATTGGCTTTCTTTGCTTGGACTTGCGTAAGCTCAATTAACTCTAGTAGTAATAGCGTGGAGCCATTTTAACTTTCGATAATCAATTAAATAGTCATTGTCATGGAGTTTTAAATTTAATTCATTCATGAAAATACCTTGGATTCTATACGTTACAACAATAACGATATAACATATTTAGTATAATTTTATAAGTGAGGTCTGAGAAGGAGAGGATATACGCAAATCTTATCTTTATAAGGTAGAGAGTTCGGTCGGTCAGTGGCGGAGCCACCTTATAGTCAGGGTTCATCCGAATCCCCTTCGGCGGAAAATTATATTATTTATACATGGTTAAAATCATTTTTTAGGTATATATAGTAGATGTCGAACCCCCTTCGGCTATTTCGTGTGTCTATTTCTTCTTGAACTCCCTTATTGAAAATTCTGGCTCAGCCACTACAGTCAGTATACTAAGCTTCCGTGATGTGTGGGGTCTATTATAAATGCATTATCATGTATTTTTGTAAGAGGTTGTTTTCACGTTTCGAACATCGCGTGACAACAATTTAACATATAGCAATAATTTGAAATTTCATGACAACGACTATTTTTCAATTATAAGGACTGAAAAGTGATTATTTGTGAATTCTCATAATTAATTTTAACTTTGTTTGGTTTCTCTTTTTTATATATATAAAAAAAAAACAGTATGAATTTGGGCTGAAATCTTGTTTCCACGACCATACTGAGGATATCGTAATTAGAATGGCAATGGGGTTAGTATAAATTATCTTCTAATTTCTTGTTAAACTTTTATTAATTTGATCCAAATTACTTACATATGAAAATGTTGATTTAATTTTTGGTTCAGGGTTCTTATTCAGATTCTTTGCAGCTATGTCACTCTTCCATTATATGCTCTCGTGACACAGGTAAATTAAGTTATATACATCATCAACGTAAAATATACTTTATCTAATAAGGTTATCTTTGACTATGTAACTCGTTTTACTTTTAAGATTATTAATCTCGCATTTTAAGTTTCAAATCATAGAAACAATAATATAACAAGTATTAAGACCATCTAGGTATTGCGTGGGCGTTTGGACATAAGAATTAATGTGAATTTTGAAGTAAAAATAGAATGTTTTATTTTCAAGTTAAAAATGATGTTAAGAAATTAGAAATTGAAATTGTGTTTGGACATGAATATAAATTGAAGTTATTTTTTTTTGAATGTTTGCGAATGATTTGGAATGAAAAATTGTGAAAAATGGAGTTTTTTTCGAGTTTCGAAAAAATTAAAACAATTCTATGTCCAAACATTTTTTTCCAAAAAAAGTGAAAACTATCCATGGTCAACAAACGGGCACTAGAATTTCTATCCTTAACTAGAAAATCTTTTTTTTCACCTTCATGGAAATGAACTTATATGTATCGTCAATATAATAGTTTGTTATTATATACTATCTATCTTACCTTTCATGTATTATCAATTTCACTTATTATGAAAATAACATAAACACTTAATTGTTGTGATAGTGTAAAAATTCTTATACTTCAAAATGTTGCACATTTTAAACAGATGGGATCAACAATGAAACCAACAATCTTCAATGAAAGAGTAGCAACAGCATTGAGGAAATGGCACCATAGTGCCAAAAAACACATCAAAGAGATCAACAAGCAACATTCAAATCCAACAACTCCAATGTCAAGTAGGCCAGCAACGCCCTCTCACGGCATGTCACCCGTCCATCTCCTACGCGGTATCAGGACGAGTGACATGGACGTGAGTCCACGAAGATCGAGTTATAATGTAGACCATTGGGACATTGAGGGCTCGCCATCTCCAACTCGATTCTATCAAGGTGGTACTGGAGATGGCTCGCCCTCACCATCCTACATGCATCAAGTTCAAATTAGTCATGACGTAATACGTCATGACTCTGAAGGTCACGGGCCTAGTTTGTCAGAAATTGAGGCTTGTGACCAACATGAGATCAATATGGCTCGTCCAAGGGATTTTTCATTTGATAAAAGAACGACTAGTGTATAATTAAATGTTGGAATTCATGTCATGAGTGGCAAAGTCACTTTCGTTGAAAGGACGTTAATTGACATCTCTTTATCGGAGAATTACACTACGTTGATAGTTTAATTTTTTTCTTTTATGTATGTATATTATATATTGAATTTTTCATTAATTATTTTATGTGTTTAGTTCTAATCACATCAATGAAAATTTAGGTTTCACCGCTCATAATTTTTGCACAAAATTATTACATAATAAAATTGTTATGAAATATACAAAATATGTGACGATGTAATGAAGGAGATAAAGATGATGACTCACCCAAAATTACGAAAATTGTTATGCAATGATAAGTATTCTTTCATTCTTAATTAAATGTTTCAAATTTAATCTCTCAATATGAACAGATTTTGATGATTTTCCACCATAAAACGACAAACTCCGGGAACGACAAGTGACATATATAATGCAGCGCCCATAATGCAATAATTTGTGTAACTTTTGTAATGGCTGCCCGCCCACCCACCCCTATCCATACATCGGCTATAAATATAATTTTTTAGTGGCAGATTCAGAATTTATAATATATATATAATTTTTTTTAATTTGTATTTTGTATTTTGTATTTTGTATTTTAATTTCTCTATTGAAGTACTTCATGTCCCTACAGTATCTTGGATAATCTTTATTTTAAAATTTAATTTTTGAAGTTGTCACATGTCCGATATTGGACCCTAATTTTATATATATTCACACTTCAAATACCGTATATAAGTTGTAGAGATGAATTTAAAAAAAATTAGTTTATGAATTCTTGTATAGTTGTATTATAGAAAACACAATTGATTAAATTCTTATTAAGTTATACTATATATATATTTAAGTGATTTTTGTCTGAATTCTGAATCAAAGCTAGTATCAAGTTGATACTATCAATATGGTACAACATGTTTCATATCTTCAACTTTCCTTCAATCAGGGGCGGATCTAGGTACAACCTGTTTCATATCTTCAACTTTCCTTCAATCAGGGGTGGACCTAGGTGGACCCGAGGGGTTTACCCGAACCCCCTCGTCAAAAAATTACACTGTATATGTAATGTCAAATTTTAATTTTATGCGTATATATTAAAATGAACCCCCTACAAACAAACTATTGCCTTGGCTCAGTGGATAAGTGGTTCAACAAATGCCCTTGAGGGTTTGATTTCAATTGACAACATTTTTTACCTCCTTTAAATGCTTTGGAAAATGGAATTTTTGGGCTTAGACTTTCTTCTTCTTTTTTCATTATTTTTTCCTTTTGTTCCATTTCTTCTTTTTAATTTGTTTTCTTTAAATTTATTAGACACATTCTTTTTATTTTATTTTTTATTCTTTTTATATCTATTATTTATTTTGTTTCAACGTAACTTTTTTTTCATATACTAACTTAAATAACTCTTTTAAAAAATGATGAATTATATTTAACTAGAAATTGATGAGATAGAAATATAATTTTTTTTTAAAAAAAAGAAGGTAAATTAGATGTAATTGAATGAAGAAACTTAAATATCATCAACATCCTTTCAAAAATATTAATTTATATAATTCATGAAATTTCTTTTATATTTTTAATTCTATTTTAGAGAGGTGAAAACTAAACATATTTGATTTATTCGTTATTTGTCTTTTTTATAGATTATGACTAACCTAGTAAATTGAACTATATGAACTAAAAAAATTGACAATGTTATTTATTTATCTTCTGAATATGCATTATAATTTTAGTAACTCTATTCTTACACACTTTTAGAGAATCTTGACGATTTTCATAGTAATATGTGATTTGAATGAATGCCAATTTAATTTTTTTAAAAAGGGAAAATTAAAGTATAAAAAGCACAAGAAATTTTAAGAATGCTCGATGGAGCATGATAAAAGTAGAAAGAAATGATTAATACGGTATAATAGAGTAAGTTAAATTTAGCATGATAAGGTAAATATCTTTCTTCTCTGTCTTGCATCCTTTTTCATCATTTAATTTTCACGTTTTTAGGAGTTAACTTACGTAATACAGTCGATCCACTAAAATTCTTATGAATGTATCTTTGTCCTCCATATTTTTAATTAGTTTAGTCTTTACTTTTATGAACCAATGAAATATCTATGGTTCTTGTACAAAGAGCATGCCGAGGGACTACTACGCTCACCGTGCACTTACATTATCACCTGAACTTCTCCTTTATACTTTGAACCCTTGAGCAAAAATCCTGGATCCGCCACTATTTTCAACATGTAGGAGTGTGAAAAGTCCACTATGAATACCAGACTTGATCACCTTAATTATATGATTTTGAACAATCCTCGACTCAAAACTCAAAAGATATAAAACTTTTGTCAGTAGTCCCAAAACCTCTCACCCTTTGCTTTATTATTGCCTCTTGTTTAAATTGTCTTTTCATCCACCAATTTAATTTCCACACACCACATTTTTCACAAAACACAAGACATATATTATTTGATAGATGGAGAATTACTTTCAAGGGATAGTAGGAAAATTGGGAAGACAATGCTACGCAGTGTTATGTTTGTGGGTGCTGCTTATTTCACTAACCATTGCTCATTATTCAAGTTTTTATGTTCAAGAATCCAATCACCAACACCGCCGCGTTCATGAACGCACCGGGAGGCGTGTTCGGGCCTTACATGGTTCTCCTCTTCTTCCACGCCACCCAAATTGCTAATGGAATTAGAGACGAATTTAGAATTTAAATTTAGAATTAATGAATAATGATGTTATATTGATCTTTGTTTAATTTTTGCATGTAATGATGAATTTGAATTGATGTACTATTGTTTTAATTAATTAATTTGCAAGATAACACATCTCGTTTTCCCCAAGATGGATGGATTACATTACATATTATAATGGGTGCAATCTTATCCTTTCTGAATTAACGCAATTATATGTTGTCTCTTGCGTTTTGAGAACTGAGCACCACTACATGTGCATACTCGAATTATAATATGTTTTAATCAAGTATCTAAATATATGATGAAATAATTTTATTAGATATTTTCAATTCATTTGCAAAAGTGTGTGTTGTGAGTTCATTAGGTGTCCGTTATAGATAGCTACGTTAATCACATAGAATATAAATATTTTTTTTCTTTAATTATACACAATAATAACAATTAAAATATGCATAAGATTTTACGTATTATCAAGGTTAGTGTGTATGATTAAAAGAAGTAATATATTTTAAATAAATTCAAGTCAAAAGTATCTAATAAACTTCACCATATGTTCATATCGTCATTCAAAACATCATAATTCGAACGTTAAAATGAAATTTATTGATAAGTTTAAGAGACTACGGGAAGTTAGGGGTGAAAGTGAATTAAACAAAAATTACCCCCACCCCTTTTTGTGATTAAGCTCCTTTTATGACTGAAAAAACGGATTACTACTAATTAATTACTCCCGCTAAATTCACTCTACTCTCCCGCAAAAGCCGATATCGCCGGTGAACCTTTGCTTCGCCGGTAAACCAGAGAGAGAAAGAGAAAGGGAAAAAATGGCTGAATTCGATGAGACAAATAGAGGAAGAAGTGTATCTACGTTTCTCTCTCCTCCCTTTTTCCCGTCCGCCATCATTTTCTACTTCTCAAAAATCCTCCGTCACCGGGAAAAAATAGTTAACCGGAACCGAAAATGAGCGTCATCGACATTATCTTCAGAGTTGATTCGATATGTAAGAAGTACGAAAAGTACGATGTCGATAAGCATGCCGCTAATGATTCCTCCGGCGATGCCTTCGCTCGCCTTTATTCATCCTTCGAATCTCAAATTGACGCTACTTCTGAGGTAAATTCTCGTTCCGATTACAAATTGAATCGAGTTGAGAGTTATTTTTTAAAATTTTGTTGTTCGATTTGGCAGAAAGCAGAGATGGCTGCTATGGAAACGAACAGAGCTAAAGCGGTGGCTATGAAGGCGGAGGTACGACGAACAAAGGCGCGTTTAATGGATGAAATAAAAAAATTGCAAAAGCTTGCTCAGAAAAAGGTAAAATTTTGGGTATTTTTGTGCTTAAATGTATGTATGTAATTGGAGTAGTTTTTTTTTTTTCGTGTGTTTTCGAGAATTCTGCGTTTTGCTTGTTGTTTTGGTTTCCCATCCGGTGTCTAGTACCTGCATTGGGACCCATTTAAAGAAAGCCCCTCTACCAGAATTTTTTCTATATCCAGGCTCGAACCTTAGACCTCTGGTTAAGATGAAAAAAGCCTATCCATCGCATCACAATCCTTGATAGTGTGTCAAGGCGAGCTCTGAAGGAAATATATACTAGATGTGATTTTAAACCATATGGTCTTCTTTTTATGTTTAATAATGTCGAAATTGGTTGATATGTTCTCCTGTTGTATTGAGCAAAATGGTTGCTTCCAACATTTCCGAGTATCATGTTACTCAGACTCTCCAAAAAGTTGCCGCAACCATGTTGGATCCTCTGAAAATGCACTACTTTTGGAGGGATCCAGCATGCACCCGTCTACATTTTCTTAAAAGTTCGAGCAACATAGATATTAGGCATAAAGAACGTTTAACTGCAGAATTTCATTACCCAAGGTGCTAGTTTTGATAACTGGACTTTAGGTCGAGGTATGAAACTTTTCATATTTGGAAAATGTTAGTCATAACTAGATTACAAACAGGTTAAAGGACTATCCCAAGAGGAACTGGAGACTCGTGGTGATTTGGTACTTATGCTATCGGAGAGAATTCAGGCAATACCTGATGGAAGTACAGATGCAGCCAAAACAACAGGAGGTCGCGGGACTTTATCATTCAACAAAAATATAAAATTTGACTCAGGTAATATATAATCAATTCTTTTTTGCTTTCGTAACAATTACGTTCCTGGATTTCTCATGATGTCAAAAACGCGTATTAGAGGGACAGTTCAACGAGGGTTTCTATGAGCAAACTGAAGAGGGTACTCACTTTAGATCAGAGTACGAGATGCGGAAAATGAAACAGGCTTGTAACTTTCCAATTCTTGTTCTTTAATTCCTTTTTGTCTGTTAGTTTTACATGGAACCATCACATAACCGAATGTTGAATTCTATAGGATGAAGGATTAGATGTTATTTCAGAAGGTCTGGACACACTGAAGAATTTGGCTCGTGATATGAACGAGGTTGCCCCTCATCACCGACTTGCCTCCTAAACATGATTCTGGTCTCAGGAATAAAACTGTTTCTTGATCATCATTTTGTTCCACTTTGTTTCAGGAATTGGATAGGCAAGTTCCTTTGATGGACGAAATCGATACAAAGGTTAGAATGATTTCTTAAATCTCCATTTATTGGACTACTGTAACAAACAACGTTCATAATTCACCTTACTTTGGTTGTCTTACAGGTGGATAAGGCAACCACTGATATCAAAAACAATAATGTCAGACTCAAGGATAACATTAACAAGGTATCCTAAAGTTCTATTAAAATTCCTCCTCTCCTGTCCGGTTCACAAAGCAGATTACTTTTTCTTTGTTTCGAGTCAATTTTCTTATGAGGTTTACCTACTGGTGTAGTTTTTCTTTCCTCCAGATAAGGTCCAGCAAAAACTTCTTTATCGATATAATACTTCTCTGTATTCTTCTGGGGATTATGGCCTATCTTTACAAGTGAGTAGCTATCTTGAGAGATTACTTTACATTGTTTCTTCTTATTCAGCTTTGTGATACCTTCCTTGATGATAATTATGCTTAGAAGTTAACAAAAGATGCAACATCATTACTATTCGCATAATAATCTGACAAACATATGGGAATCTGAATTTCATTACTTACACTATAGAAAGATCGAAAAAGTATTGGGGAGAGGTGATTAGACAGGACATAATGTAGTTTTAACTTACCGATGACATGACCTTAAATAGGAGGGTGTGGAGGACACACATTAAGGTAGAAGGTTAGTAGGTAGCAGTGCGTTGTCTTGTTGTTCGTTCATATTAGTAGTCGTAGTATTGCTTATGTAGTTTCATGTTCTTCAGTTTCTGTTACTATCTGTTGATTCCTAGTACCTCGATTATTTTATTGTTTTGTTGTAGTTTCTATTCTGTTACTATCTGGACTGCTTTAAACTATTTTTTCCGTTGAGCCAAGGATCTATCGGAAATAACCTCTCTACCTGTGAGGTAGGGGTAAGGTCTGCGTACAATCTATCCTTCTTTTCACTCGGCACAATCTTTGGTTGATGTCAAGTAGTTGCTTTAGTTGATGACTGCCTAGAAGAAAAATGAGGAAACCAGAGATTCTGTTTTGACTCAGTGTTCAAACTGGCTAAGCCATTGGAATTTAGATTGATTCTGTTTAAAAATGTACCAACTAGGCCTGCGTATCTATGATCTTGAACAAATTAAGTAACATTTTATCAACTTTTCTACTATGCTCCTGGGGAAGTGGTGTAAAAATAAAGTAACCAAGCAATAGATATCGCATCTACACTTCTAAACAATTTTTCTTTATTGGTGCAGTGTACTAAAGTAAAGTACTGGGAGCTCGAGCTTCATTTGATCCTGATTGATCTCCCGCGGTCAGGTGTAAGATTCATCTACTCCCCGCGCTTGCTAATTCTATACTGTACTAGCCTTGGGAAATCTTAGAATTCACAGTTAAGATTGTATATTTTGGCTACTTCACCTTTTTATTGTCTTCTTAATATTATAGAAGCCTATGTAGAAATGAATCAATTTTATCTAGCAGCCAATCTTTTTTACCATAAACTTGAGAGCAAGAAAGAAAATTGAACAGAAACAGATGGAGTGTTTGTTTTCTGGTGGGAGGGAGAGGGGAGCATTCTAGCAGAGGCGGAGTCACAGTTTTAACTACGGATTCAGGGGAACCTAGCTAGTAGTTTTGGTTCAAATTCTTTATTTGTGGTAAAAAAATTATTTGATATGTATAAATAATTTATAAAACCAGTAAGCAACAAGGATTATGGTTCAGAATGCATAAATTAAAAATTCTGGATCCGCTTCTACGTATCAGAAATTTGTATTTGTTTTCATTTGTTCCTTATTACTTAATATATATGCATACAATTATCGCACTATTAATAGCATGCAGTAACGTGTTGTCTTGCTTTTCCAGGGCTAAGGTTTTTTGGTGTTTGTCGCTGTATTAGCTATAGTATTGTAGTCTTTGCTTTTGATGTACTACATATCATCCTTTGTTGTTTATTGTATTTCAATTATCACACTGTTTTGTTGATCTTGTTCCTTTCTCGTAGGCTTTGCACTGCTTCCCGTGTTAGTTACTATGTTTTCTCTACTGTTTCTTCTTTGTACTTGGATTTGCCCCACTTGAGCTGAAGGTTTTTTTGGAAAACTACCTCTCTACCTCCACCTCCATGATATAATGATAAAAATTGCAAGGCTCTATGGTTCTCAAACTCCACTTACAAAATTTTATCGGGAAATAAATATTATAAAAGTGTCAAGTTTAGGTCTCGAAAATAGAATTGTCACACTTTTAAAGTTGAGCTTTTTCAGTTCAAATTTGTATTAGTCGAACTTCAGAGTAGGAAACACAAAAAACACGAGTACCAACATGTTCATTTTATATATTCATCAAATTGTGGGAGGGAACTCTTTGATATATTAATTGGCGAAGGAATTAATGTCAAGTTTGTTGTGCTTCCCGGGAATAATATAAAATAATATTTCCTTCGTCTCGTATTATTTGTCATTAATTTTTCTCCTCATTTTATTACCTCGGATTAATTATTTAATAAAGACAGAATATATCTTAAGACATAAATAAAGATAAAACAGTCAAAAATATCTCTTATATATATATATATATATATATATATATATAATACGATAGATAATTTGTGAATACGAGAATATAAAGATTGAGTGAGTGTAAATTCCTATTAGCACTATATTTGTTTTTGCTTTTCCAAGAGAGTTAATTAGGGTTAATTATACAAAGAACTATTCAAAGAGTAATGAGATTAGTTGAAGTTGTTGGGTATATGTCTCCATCATTTTATTCAAGAAAATCAATATATAGAGAATTTAATAAAAATAATCTGTCTTTCAAATACTAAATTCCAAGAACTTAATTCCAAAAAAGTGGTTGAGTAAAATATGCTTCCTTTTTTCTTTTTAAGTATATTATTTAATAGAGACACCTAAAGGTTATACATTATCCATCTTTTAGGGATCGTTTGACTAGATGTATTAGATAAAATGTATATGAATAATATTGATATTAAATTTAATATAATGTATGATTACTTAACTTCAAATGTCATTTATATAAAGTTGTTCGAAGTAAATAGACATACAAAAATAATGCCCCCAAAGGTTGGCTATATATGCACTTGGGCTTTTTTAGTTACTATGTTCTACTCAAATCATTTGTAACGTGAGAATTTAGAAAAGATGTGTTAGAGAGAGACCTTGACAAAAAAATAGTAGATTTTTTGTATATATATTTATATTTTGTATCGAAAATAATTCTGAATCTAAACTACATATATACTTGTATTTGTTTTCTTTATGATGGAATTGATTAACATTTTTTTTATTTTTAATTAAAGTTCTTACATTAATTACTATCTGTGGATAGGAATAGTGAATAGAGCTGCTTCTTTCTTAATTAGAATTTTTGGTTTTTAAATTCTGGATATATAAAATTTGAATAACTTCTTTTCCTTCTCAACTCAAGGTGATCTAAATATCAGGTCTACAACTCTCACCTCCCCGAAAAGCACATTCGTTCCCTATCAATTATACAATAAAATATATCTCGATTGGACTAAGAAGAATAAAAAAAGATCCTAGGTGGAGTGTTACCTTTGCATAGACCTTATCCGATGCGAACTCGGATGAGTCGGAGACGAATAGGAGTACCAAACATCGAATTAAAAACAAACAAAAGAAAAAAAGAGGTGTCAAATTAAATAAGCCCTAACATTGCTTGAAACAAATACTTTTTCCACCGTGGATCAATAAAAAAATTATGTGTTCATCAATTTCTCACCTAATCAACTCACTGAAAAAACTATGATGGGAAATTGATTCTTGATAAAATGCCGAAAAGTTTCATATTTTTTTTGTAAACACTACTATTTTTTCACCAATTTAATCAAACTATTTATATTTTAAAAAAAAGCTACCTAACATTTTCAGTGAGAAACTAATAAGAAAATAGTAACTTTTTAATAATGTAAAATAAGTACTGGGTGAGAAAAAATTAAATTTAATTATTAACAGTCACCAAATAAAGTGTGGAGAAACAATAATGACATAATCATTTTTACTATATGTAAATTGTAAAGGCAACATACTTTTTTTCAATCCCTCAATCAATCTTTTTGGAGAACTAAAGTTTTTCATTCTGTCTTTTTGCCCTTTTTTCTTTTTTTTTTTCTTTAATTCATCATATGGTATTTGAACTTATCTACATTTACCCTTCTTAATTTATGTGGTATTTAATAGAGTACAAAATTCATAAATTAAAAAAATAAATTATGTTAGAGTGGTAAGTACTTCATCCTTAACCACAAGATTTTGGGTTTAAATTTTTTTGAGTACGGAATCACCTTTGTTAAGGAGCGTTTTACCCTCAATGTGAATCTTTCCGACGTAAATCTAAATTTAGTCGAGCTCTGAATATCAAAAATCTAGTGGAAAACTAAAAAAATATATGATCTAAAATATATCATATATATTTGTCTATATGTAATTTTCTTGTTAAAGAAAAATAAAATAAAAAAGATCATTCTTTTATAGATAGATTAAAAAAGAAATATATACCTATCAATCAAATTGATTGGAGGAGTATTAAAGAGTCATCAAAGGAAGTACTTTAGTCTCCCTTCCAATTTTTATGATTGAAATTAGTTTGATTGAGTACGAAATTTAAAATTTAAATTTATGATTTAAAATAAAATATCTTATTAAAAATAAGATGTATTTATTTTTTTGAGGTTGGGATACAATCAGGGGCGTAGGCACATGTATGTCAGGGTGTCCAATTGGACATTCTTCGTCGGAAAAAAATACCGCATATACAAGTAAAATAATACACGAAGTGATTAAATAATATATTTTGGACACCCTTGACATAATAGGTTGTTATAGTCTAATGGTTTAAGATGTCTTGAATAAGTGTTTAGACATCTTTAATGAGCTAGTGCTTGTGTGTTCAAATCTCACTTACAACATTTTTTTCCGCTTTTTAAAAAGAGTTTTTTGTTATTTAATTTTTGGACCCTCTTCGTGAAATTTCTTGCTCCGCCATTGATACAATGGGGTTCGAACGCCCACCACAAGTGTGAAGGTGTAGGCAACTCGATCACCAACCGAACTATAAAGTTAAATTAACCTATATTTATCGAGATCGACAAAATAAAAAATATATCATATAAACTGAGACGAGTGATATCGTAGTATATATAATTCAAAAGCAGAACTTTCGTATTCAAAATAAAATATTCTCTCAATTTTATTTTAATATTTTGAAAGCAACACATCATGCAAAGCTGTGGCAGCAGTATATATATTGACAAATTGATACAGTTATTCTCTCACTCACCCCACTGTAAATTATACAATATTTACTTGCATAGGGAATTTAGATTACTAACATAACGATTTACGAAAAATTCAGTAACTTTTGTTTTAATCTTATGTATCAAAATAGATATTAAATATTTATAAATATTTAATTTATTATGAACTCGACTATTATGTATATTATTAACTTGAGGTTACCATTAGAATCCATAAACTTTAAATTTTATAAATATTTCCTTTTTTTCGTTTCTCATCTAGTGTCTGATATCAGCATAAGACTGAATTGGACTCGGGTTTATGTCTTAAAGTTCCATATTAGAATAAAACTCTATAACGAAAGTGAATCGTATTGAATAAGAATATGAATTCGAAATCTCTGATTAAAACTGAAAGAGTACTTGTCACTCCACGACAGCCCTCGTAATAGGTTGAAGTGGTCCACTTGAGTCTATGGCTGACCAACTTTTAGAGACAAAAGCCGTGTGTGAGAGAAGGAATAGTATAATAGAGGAAAATATTCTTTCTTTTATTAAGGTATAATAATTTTTTGCTTCTACTTCTACTATATACTAAAATCAAACATAAACTCAAAGAAGAGGAAAATCAAGAAGAAGTGAAGTTGTTATAACAACTCTATTGTTTGTTTTTGTTTTAAAAACATAGTACACTATACAATGAGTATTTCTTGGGATTTAGCTGTTTTGAGCAAATCTTGTGGCTTCTCTTGAAATCGAGCTGAGCTGAACTAAACTGAACTAAACCGAACTTCTTCTTTTCTTTTGGTGTGTGTGTTCATTTTACTTCAAATTTTGAGGTTCAAGAAGAAAATGATGTCTAATGATGGACTTTCTTGTTCCATGAGAGGTGGTTTCACTTTCATTCAAGATCCAAAAAACCCTAGTACTAATATTAATCATCCAAATCCAAACCCTAATTCAAATCCAGATGTTTCTTGTGCTAATAAGAGGAAGAGAAATCTCCCCGGAAATCCAGGTATAAGTCGTCAGAGGCAGATCCATAATTTGAATTA